CAAGATCTCACAACGGCTGAGCCGACGCTGATGACGTCACCCACAGTTATACAACCGAGCCCGGGGCCGTGCGGTGATCGGAGGCGGCAAATGGGCCTGCCTAGACCCCGGACTGAGCCTCGCAGGGCTCGATTGTCTGGTGGTGTCGTCCCGACCGCCGCAGGTATCGTGGGCGATGTGCGGTTGAGGTTTGGGAGAAACAAATGTGACATTTTCGACAAAAGAAAGCAAACTGACCATTTCGTGGTCGCATTTTGCGTCTACGGTCTTATCAGTTTCACACATTGCAATTCATTTTAGTGTGCAATTGCTGCTCGTTATGGGTCTTTCACATCACTTAGTGCAATGCCATTGTTTAACTTTCTTTCGCGTTATCACACATCTCTGCGTTCATCTCGTGCTACAGTGCTTCCTTCGTCGTCGCATCCTACCATCGAAGTCACCAGCTTGGTCGTGTCACGATGGATACCTCAGCTGGCGGATGTGCCTCCTGATGCGCTGGACATCGGACCTTACTCGCTGGTATGACTTTAATCAAAGACAAAAATGGCGGAACACCACCGCAGTGTTGGGCTACCCGTGTTTCGAGCGCTCGCGTTGACCACTCGGGGCCTTCGCAGGATGTGTCCTTCGACAAGGCGGCCGCCCAGTTCGGCTGCGAGGTCCGCTCGCACGGCCCGGACCGGCCGCCGCCGCAGCGCCGGGTTTATCACCGCACCTCTCCTCTGTCGCTGGAGCTGGACCAGCTCCCTGGCAACCAGCACCGCCCCATTAGCCTTTTGGCGCTCGAACTGGACGCGGCGGCGCTGGCGCGCTTCCTCGAGCGGCCACCAGAGGCGCTGGCGCGGCGCGTGGAACAGCTGACCGTGCGGCTTAACCTGACGGCGGTGCTGGTACCTGACGGCCGGTCAGGGAAGCTGCAGGACGCGGCGAGGAAGCTTCGCCGGCGGCTATACACCGGTCTGCTAGGGCTTCAAGAGCGGGGTTTCCACCTGTTCTCGGCGACCGCCGTGGAGAACTCAAACGGACAAGATGTGACCGTGGCGGGGGGGTAGCGGAGGCTGTACCGTCGCTCACGGAGGTCGCCTGGATGAAGGTGCTCTGTTGAGTGGGACTGGACGCGACAAAGCACGCGCGAGCTAGTGGCAAAGTAGTGCCAAGGTAGTGTTGCCGGCGCGAGGCGGATGAAGGCTTTTCTGTGCGGCCCTTTTGCAAGCGCGCGGCTGGCTGATTGTTCCGATTTATCTAGCCTCATCTCACATTGCATGTTTCGCACGCCTGTGGTGATGGAGACGAAGGACATGTGCAATTATTTTGGTGGAGTGTTGGAATCTTAAAAATACAGCAGGCCGATGTGCAGAAAGGGCGCAAAAACATGCGTACAATTTACACAAAACCATCAAACGAGTAATCGACACAAGTCATCTCGTCAAAAGATTCCGCGGACCGGTTCTGCAAGCATGACAATGGATGTCACGAACACTAATCGGGGGTTACAAAAGGAAATCAACGCGCACGCTAGCTTTTTCTTCAGCAGACGCCTCTGTGGTATACCAAGGCCAAACCAAGGCGTTATATATCATGATGAGCAACGCCGCATATCTCCGATGAAGGTGAGCATACACTGTTCAATTGTCACGGTGAAAAACCCTCCGCAGATGCGTACATGTGATTTGAACACTGAACAAGAAAACAGAAATCAGACCAGGTCGCTGCGGCGCAGTCATCAATGACGCCCTGCGGCGTAGTCATCAATAACGCGATGCGGCGCAGTCATCAACGATGCGCTGCGGCGCAGTCACCAATGACGCGCTGTGGCGCAGTTACCAACGACGCAATGCGGCGCAGTTACCAATGACGCGCTGCGGCGCGGTCATCAATGACGCGCTGCGGCGCAGTCACCAATGACACACTGCGGTGCGGTCACCAATGACGCGCCCTTCGTCCCGTTCTTGTCTACGCCGAAGGGGGCCACCACCACATTAGTCATCAACGCAGATAAAAGTACTGACAATGTATTACAAATATCGCATGTGCACTGATATCGGCACAGAAACATTGTTAAACATCGCACTACGGACGTCAAGCACATGCCAATTCCAGCTTTGGGTGGCTTCTCTTCATTCGTGCGTTCCTCCTCTGGAACTCACCGGGCCGACAAGGCTTAGTTTAAGTTCGCAACTTTCACATCTGCTCTCCAGAGAGAGGTCATGTCCTGCGGAAAGCGGTGGGATACTGACATTGGTAGCAAGCTCCCCTGGTCGCACAACGGCGAGGCTTCGATCCATCCACCAGGGTCCCCCCCCCCCCCGTTCCGGACAGGTTGCCCCCACTCTCTCCCCTCATTCACCCGCCTCGAAGCCGCGTGCGCTACTCCCCCTTCGCCGTCGGGCGCCCCTGGCCGGCACTCAGTCCCAGCCGTCGCAAGTTCCGCTTGAAGAAGAGCGGCAGCGGTGCCGTGACCCGGCCATCCAGGCCGGGCAGCCAGAGGGCGCGCGCGTGCAGGTGCATCGGGAGGTGGCGCGCCTCCGGCTGGCGGATCCCCAGCGCCTCGAGCGCGGCCCCGGGCAGCCGCTGCGGGCCGGTCGGCCACCGTCCAGCGCGAGTACTTGTGGTCGCCGAGCACCGGGCAGCCCAACCCGAGGCCCAAGTGCACGCGCAGCTGGTGCTTGACGCCTGTCGTGGGCGCGAGCTCCAGCAGCGCACAGCCGGCGGCCGCGGACAGCACGCGGTAGCGCGTTATTGCCGCGTGCGCGCCGGGTGGTGTCACGTCACCGCCGCCGGCCGCCGCCAGCGTCATCCGCGTGCGCCCGCTGACCGTGCCCTCCTCGACGGGCATGTTGATGACGGCGCGCCGCTGCTCGGGCGCGCCCTTCACCAGCGCCCAGTACGTCTTGACGACGCGTCCCTCGCGGAACAGGTCGTGCAGCCGCCGCGCCGAGTCGAGCGACTTGGCGACGAGGATGGCGCCGGTGGTGTCACGGTCCAGCCGGTGTACGGTGAACAGCCGCTCGCAGCCGAGGTGGCGCGCCAGGCCCGGCAAGAATTGCGCCAGGCAGTGCGGCGCGCGCTCCGTGACAGAGTGCACCGACATGCCGAACGGCTTGTACAGCACGGCCAGGTCGGGGCCGTTGTGGAGGACGCCGCGCCGCAGCAGTGCCGCCACAGGCGTGCGCTGGCTGGCTGGCGATGTCGGGCACCTCCGCGCGCAGCTGGCGCCCCCTGCCGGCTGGCGCGGCGGCGAGCCGTGCAGCCGCGCGCAGCTCGCGGACCACGGCCAGCCCGGACTGCGGGCCGCCGTCCGCGCCGGTCCCCGGACCGCCGCCGGTGTCCGGCGACCCCTCCCGCCGGACCGCCGACGAACCGCTCCTGGCGCCTCCACCGTCCGCCCCGCTCCGGACCGCCTGGCGCTGCAGCCCCGCCGCAGGTCGCTGCCCTTCTCCACCCGGGTCTGACCGCTTCTCCGCCTGGCTCGCTGGCTCAGAGCCCCTTCCTCTTCCCGGACTCGCCTGCGGTTGCCGAGTCTGCGGCACGGAGCTTCGTTCTAGCTCCGGCACGTCCACAGCGTCAGCGTTCCGCGCACGCCGCTCGGCGCCCGACACCCGTCCGTGCCTGGCAGCAAGGCTCGCCTTGTACGCCGCCGCCTCGCGCTCCTGTCCCACGTCCTCGAACGCGCTCCAGAAGTACTGCTCGTCGAAGACACCGTCCGGCTTTTCGGCAAGCTTGGCGTCGCTGGCGAGCGGTCGCTTAGCCGGTGACGTGGTCGGCGGCGGCCAAGTGCGAGGAGCGCCGCAGTCGAACGCGCCCGCGAAGTACTGCTCCTCGAACGCACCCTCGGGGCTACCCCGCAGCGTGGCGCCAGCGTCGCTCTGCGCAGCAGTGTCGATTTCTGACGCGGCGCTGGCGGCGATCGCGTCCATCTCGGGGAAGTACTGGTTGTCGACGAAGGTCGCGGCGTCGGCGGACGGACTGCCGGCGTGATGACGGGACTCTGCGGACTCCATTAATGATTCCTGTGGTCCTGAACGCGACCGGTCCGCCCGGGACCGCGGCCGGTCCCGGACCGGCACGGGACCAGGGTCCGCGGCGCGCAACCCCGACCGCGCCAGGTCCGCCGGTTCCAGTTCCCCAAACGTGCCCACCTCGACGTCGTCCGAGGCTGCCGTCTCCCGCGGCTCAAACTGGCCGTGCACTGTCGGCTGGTTGTCGCTATCCAGCCTGATGACGCCGAAGCTGGTGCAGATGACGGCCTCGCAGTCGGCGCTATCTCGCTGCAGGCGCATGCGGTCCAGCTGCGTCGAGATCGAAGTCAAACTCGCACCAACCGGCGGCGGCGGCGGCGGCCGTGGCGCGGCCGCCGCCGGTGAAGCCTCAGCGTCCTCCGGCTCGTGCAACGCGAGGTAGTCGTGGTGGCGGTCGCTGTCGGGGGTGGTGGCAAACGGACGGTGGCAGTGCAGACGCATCAGGCCGCCGGCCCGCGCGGCGGCGCGGTGGCAGAATGTCCACATTGGGGTGGTGTGAGATATACTTTGGCTCACAAATTTCTGAGGAGCAGGACACAAGGTGAGTGGAAATGGTGCCTGTGATGGTGATTTCTACTTTAATTGGCTTGCAGTATGTGTGATCAATAACCCAGAACTTTTTCTACTGTGTATTGCCAACTGATTTCCTCCTGCATCCTGGCACTACCTGATGCTCAGCAGAGGCAAACATCACTCAGATGAGACAGTTTAGACATAAGGTCTACACCTGGCTGATAAAAATAAAATATTTTTACAGGCTAGTTGCTCACTGATAACTTTACAAAAGCACAAAATGCCAGGAATTACAGGCAATAGGGACAAACTAGGAACAAGTCAAACATTGGCAAGGTCCAATCCCCTTCAGTGTGCAAAAATGTCTCTGTGTTGGCAGAGGGCCAATGATGAACTCTTGCTTGACACAAGTCATCTAAAGACTAGCCAGCCCAAATGTTCATCTGTTTCTGCCTGTGCATAACATTAATTGCACACCACAAAGTTACAAAATATGCCACCTCCTGTCAAATCCAACCCCCATAGCTCATCCGAAGCTTTTATATGTTCACATTACCAGCAACAGCAATAATTGAAATGATGTATATCATGAAAGAACAAATGCTACTGATCACACAGTATATGTCACTTCTAGTGACCAAACCATGGAGCTAATCTGACTGACCCATACACTGTGACAATGAATCACAGGTGCATGCCAATTTAATTGCCAGGGTACCCTTGCCAAAAATGACACATATATGCCTGACGTGGTTATTGATCCCAGTTTAAAAGTGACAGTACACCAAGCAAAGGCGATACGTTTTTAAGTACCAGCGTGCTTAGGGGCCAGCTCCATTGCAAACAACACATTACGAATGTCTATAAATGCACCAGCAACCACACATTTCCTGCAAGGTGCATGCTGATTGGGTGGTAACAATTATGCGTGCAATGCATGCAATAACTTGTACCTTTATAGCAGCGGACATGTCAACAGCAATCCATGTAAACAATATGCACGCTGGTTGGGGCTATTAGCTATCATGGTTATACACGCTACAAACATTCACATACATTTCACCACACAGGTCCACGTGCGCCGCAAATGTCATCTTCGCGCTGTAATACCAACAAAATAATAGTACTCAGAAATATGATTGCCTGCGTTGTCCGTTTCACAGCTTGGTGTAGATCAGTACTAATGGTTAGCGTCTGAGACGCTAATCTTAGCACTAGAAAATGTGAATAGAAAATGAACGCGAAAAGTTGACTTCTTGGATAAAACCATGGCGATAAATACCGATAATGCAGCTACAACTCTATGCTAAATTTGAAACGGCGCAGGGGAGACGATGCAGGCCTAAGAGGCGAGCAAATGTTGGCAACAACAATCCCGTGGCACGGGGAGCGTCCTGCCACGTAGTGGGCGTTATTCGGATTAGGTTAGAGCCGAGCGTGGCTCCCCAAGCAGCTGCTGGTTTATAGAATATCCGGCCTTACAGGTTTGTTCTGGAGAAAGGAATGAGGCGTTCAACGGAGTAGGTCTGTAGGATTGCCCACAACCTGTGAAGTATTATTTGTGCATTAATGTTACCGCCATGGACGTTTGTGTTTGTGGAGCCATTCAGTATTCGGCGTTTTTCATTCCAGTGGAAAGTTTTTTCTGCCCATTTTAGTGTGACAAGTGGAGATCCTCCGTTGCAGAGGGCAATGACATTTGGGGATTTACAGAATGTTTGGTGTGGTCAGTATGCTGAAGCTGCTATGTGCATGTGTGCTTGCAATGATGAAAGGGTGGCAAAGGTCAGAAGTGGTCAGCTCATCATTCCCATAGGCAATTTAAGTTGTGATTGTTTCTCCCCTCCTGTTGTTCATTTGGTTGGAAAATGTTTTGATGCATGCATCCCATTATTCAAACAGTGGGAGAAATCCATGCACAATTTTAGGTTTCAGCATCTGGAAAATGTTCGGTAATGGTGCCCATAGATTTTATAAATATTGATGGATGATCATTGTGATATTTGTTGTCAAGACCTAATCACATATTTTCTTTTTGCACACATCTGCACATGCTATCCTCAGCATATCTTTGGAAATTATATATGCATTCAGCAAGCTTCCCTGTATTGGAAGGGTTCTAAAAGTTCTGTCATTTTCAGGCAGCTATTAATTTTATTCAGTTGCATTGGGCACATGAGTTATGCATCATTGCATCATTCAGCCATTCCATTCTTTTCTTCCATTTTTCATCAGTACAATTAGTATCATGCCATTGCCCATTAGAGACATGCTAATAGTATATAACAGCTTTGCACTTTGTGGGAGTTTCTGATATTCTGAATCATGCTGAACATGGAGGAAAGAACATCCAATTTTTAGAATATGCTCATGTACCATATGCGTATCATAATTTGGAGAGGCTTTGACAGTTTCAAGTTTATTACTGATGCACTAGCTTCTGCACTGTTAGGAAGATCAAGCAGCAGAGTGGCTAGAATGACAGTGTGCAAATTGAAAAATTGTGAGTTTGATGCCTTAGGCCATTAAAAATTTTTGAGGCTGTAATGCATAGTGGGCCATGTGCCAAGCATCATTGGATTCTCCTCCATAGCAATAAACATTTGACAATGGTCAGATAGCCACCAGGGATGTGTGAACAGTAACACCACTTTTGGGAGGATGGATTTCTGTGATCAGAACCTCCACCAAGCAGTCATTATTGTGTGAGTCTTGACCCCCTCATCCATTGCAAAGTTTTGTCTTAACAGCACAGTTTTGTGGCAAAACTGTATCATGCAATAGCTTACTATATTGTCTGTCCTATTCTCAGGCACCACCTGACCTTAAGCATAGGCACCACCCGTGCCTGCTGGCTGCTTTCCCAGCACTGATGGGCAAGTTGGAAGGGAGGCATATTAGTCAGCTGACTTGTATGACTCATACAGGTCAGCTGGCTACAGTGCCTCCATTCCAGTTTTGCTCATACAGTATGAGCAAGTCATTTCCCGGTGAAATTGAGCAAAGACGTGGATCTTTAACCTTACTCCAGCTTCTTTTAGGCCATTTCCATGCAAAACACCTTTCTGCAACCCAGTTATACTCAGAATGGGATACAGTGATGATGAATGGACATGTGTGTGGAACCAGACTTAGTCAGGGTTTTGAGGCCCACGACTTCCCATACCTGGCTTACCATGAGTCACACTCATGCAATGCCTGTTTGGGGAGCCTGGGACACACATGTAGCCCATCCTGCTGGTTGTGCCCTTACCCGTTATGATCTGGCTCTTGCAGGCTTCATCAGGATGAGTTCCACGTACTTGACACGGAATGCCATCCTGAAGGGAGTGTCAGCCGTCTATTTGATGGGCTTTGTGTCCCTCTACATACAGATTCCTGGTGAGATATTTGCTTGACATGTCCAAATGAATGATTTTGTCACTGTGTGGGGGAACTGTGGCTGTTTTCCTTGCTCAACTGCTTGGCTGCTTAGTCTTCTACTACACATTGAAGTGATAAGTGGAAACTATTTTTACAAAAATGTAAGGATACTTACCAGCAGGCAATTCCACCATGTGTTATCAATCTCTCAACATAAATGCTTACAGAAATGTGTAGGTGGAACATCTTGAACCCGGATCCGAGCCCGAGCCCGAGCCCGAGCCCGAGCCCGAGCCCGAGCCCGAGCCCGAGCCCGAGCCCGAGCCCGAGCCCGAACCCGAACCCGAACCCGAACCCGAACCCGAACCCGAACCCGAACCCGAACCCGAGCCCGAGCCCGAGCCCGAGCCCGAGCCCGAGCCCGAGCCCGAGCCCAAACCCGAGCCTCGCACCGTCTGACCGGACGTCTGGCCGCCGGCGGCAGGTCTGTACGGCGTGTCCGGGCTGCTGCCGGCGCACCTCGAGCTGGAGGCGCGGCAGCCGCCGGAGCTGCCGCCGGCCGCCGCCGCCCTCCTCTGGCTGCGGGGTCGGCTGGCGCTGAACACGCAGCACGCCCTGGAGGCGGTGGCGCTGGCCGGCGCTGCGCTGGCTCTGCTCGGGTCAGTGGTGCGGCGGCCTGTCGATGCGGGGACTGCTGAGGGTGTTGGCGTCGGCGTGCCGTCGGAGGCGGCCGCGTGGAAAGCTGCGCGCGGAGAGATTCGAGCCGCCAGTTTTCGGCCGGGAACTGGACGTTTTTGCGTGCTGCTGCGCTCGCCAAACGTGTTGGTAGGGCCGGAGAGGGGAGGGCATTGGTGATGCGTGAGGCAGGGAGGTGGGGCTGGCGGACCTGGCGTCTGTGGGTTTTGGGCTGGGTAAGGGTGGGCCGAGAGACCGGGCAGCCGGTCCTGAACTCAGAAAGCGTGTCGTACGGACGCGGGCGTCAATGCAGTGCGGGCAGCGTAAGCCCATGAACGTTTGTCGTTATATTCGATGACATGAATTCGCTGAAGTTAGCGGCGGAAATGTCGGGCGAGGAGAGCTGAGTCAGCGCCATTCTTGGGCAGGGGACTGAGTCAGGATCCGTTGTCGGGCAAGGGACTGAGGAAACGGAAGGAATAGCAGAATTCCGTTACGATCCTCCCATGTCGATCTCTGCTGGTAGCCATCTGGTGGAAAACCTGAGCTTGCCCTACCTCAGGTGATCGCGGGGTACCTCCGCTTCTCACATGTGTTTTGCGAATGTGCTCCTTCACCCTCATGTTCTGACATTACCCTCGCCCTCTGCCAGTGTGCTGCTGGAGCTGTTCCACCGCCGTGTTCTGACATCACCCTCCCCCTCTGTCAGTGTGCTGCTGGAGCTGTTCCGGACATCGCTGGTGTATCTGGGACTGCTGTTGGCATATGGTCTGCTGACCCAGGTCGGCCAGGTCTTCTTCCTCTTCCAGGGGTGAGTGATAGCGATTTACGCATGCGTGAGGTGTTGACTTATGTGAAATATTTCGATCTCATGGTTCAGGTTTCATACGTTATTTGTCATTTAATGGCCACATTCTCCCAGCTTATTTGCATCTAATAAAGTGTCTTGAATGCCCATGACTGGTATTATTTGGTGCCATTGTGCCATGTGCAGCTTATGGCAATTATTCATTCCTTTCCTTGCTTACCAATCTTCCCACAATTTGACCTCTGTGCCACTGGCTCTTGTCTTTGTACAGTTATTGGCTGTTCATATATTGACTGACTCGTTTCTAACTCATCTTCTCAATTATACACTCACTCATACACTCATTCACGCTTACTGATTGCCTGCCTACCTCACCCAGCCACCCAGTCACCCACTCACTCACCCACTCACCCACTCACCCACTCACCCACTCACCCACTCACCCACTCACTCACTCACTCACTCACTCACTCACTCACTCACTCACTCACTCACTCACTCACTCACTCACTCTCACTCTCACTCACTCACTCACTCACTCACTCACTCACTCACTCACTCACTCACTCACTCACTCACTCACTCACTCACTCACTCACTCACTCACTCACTCACTCACTCACGCACTCACTCACTCTCTTTTTCACTTCCTCTATCACTCAATCGCTCACTGATTCGTCCTCTCCTTCATCCCCCGCCCTTGGCTGCTGGCGGTCCGTCTGGTGACGGTGGCTCCCCTGGCGGCCGCCAGGGACACCCTGCTGCTGGAGGCCGGCCTGCTGGCCGCGCTGCTGGCTCCGCTGCTGCCGTGGCGGCGCGCCCAGCCGGCCGACGCGCTGGGCATGCTGCTGGTGCGCTGGCTGCTGTTCCGGCTGACGTTCGCCAGCGGCATGCTGAAGCTGCTGGGCGGTGGGCCGGCCTGGTGGGGGCTGACGGGTGAGACTGCTGCGGGAGTGGGGCGCCGCTGGTCTGAGGGGGTCATCAGTGGGGATCGGGGAGAGGGGGGGGGGGGGACAAGCTGTGCTGTGGAGGCGGCTTGAGTCGACTGGGGAGAGGTGGTGTGCGTGTGTGTGGAGGGAGGGGGGAATGCCCTGAAGGCTTGACCGGACAAAGCGCAGGGTGAGATTGCGTGTCGTCTAGCCAGCGATTTCATAGGTTAGTGTAAGTTGTTTGCGGTTACCTGAGACTGATGTTTGGCCCGTCCTTAAGCACCGGCGGCAATGGCGAGGATCCCCACTAAGGGATAATAGTAATCCGCCTGTCGACGCCGGCGTCAGTCAGAATCTCTGGGAGAGCCTGCTGAAATCCGCCGCGTGTTTTTATTCCAGCGACTCGCCCCGCAGTCCTCCTGCGATGCTTGCGACGCGGTTTGAGAGCCTCTGACCCGCCTCTCGTCCCCGTGCAGCGCTGGAGACTCTGTTCGAGAACCACTGGCTGCCGACGCCGCTCTCGTGGGTGGCTCACCAGCTGCCGGCGCCGGCCCTGAGGACGGTGCTGGTCGCCGTGCTGGTCGCCCAAATCGCCGTGCCCGTGCTGTTCTTCGCGCCCGTGCGCCAGCTCCGGCTGTTTGCCTTCTGGACCCAGGTGGGTGTGTTGGCTGAGGGCGTGGCCGCGTCGGACGTTGGTGTCAATACGGGCCAGAAAAGTTGGGGATGGGGGCGGGGGGGGGGATGTCGTGTCCTGAGATCGGAGCTGGGGTGTCGTCGTTTGTCAGGGAGCAGGCGAATGTGTCTGTGTGTCTTGAGGTGGACCGAGTGGGGTGTTGTTGCATGGGTCTGGCTGGGTCATCATGTGGGTCAGGTTGAGTCTGCCAGATGGCGCGGTCTAGGCCATCAGGGAGACTCAGGGCTGTCTATCTTCGGAAGCCATTCATGCACCAGCCGTAATGAATTGTCGTCTTCACAGATTTGGCGTGCGAACTGCAGCATATCTGAGCCTGTGCCTGTGTTAACCTACCGAGTCGTTCGACACCCGAATCAAAGTGCACCGCTCACGGCGTCGTTGTCCATCAGTGGGTGGGACTGTCTGTGGCCCCTCTGACACCAGCGGCTCTCGGTGTCGTTGTCCATCAGTGGGTGGGACTACCGGTGGCCCCTCTGACACCAGCAGATCTCTGCGTCGTCCATCAGTGGATGGGACTGCCAATGGCCCCTCTGACACCAGCAGATCTCTGCGTCGTCCATCAGTGGGTGGGGATGCCGGTGACCCCACGGACACCCCACTGACCCCACTGACACCGTCTGCAGCAAAGGCTTCAGCATTGACCCATTGACCTATCATTAAACTTGTGACCTAGCATTGACATACCGACCTAGCATCGACCAATCATCGACCTAGCATTGTCCTATTGACCAAACGTTGATCTTTTGACCTAACGTTGGCCTATTGACCTAACGTTGACCTATTGACCTAACGTTGACCTAACACTGACCTATGAACCCAAAATTGGGATATGAACGTAATATTGACCCATGGACCTGACATTGACCTATTAGCCCAGAATTGACACATCCACACTGATGTGTGTGTCCACCGCCGCAGGCATTTCTCACTCGCCGAACGCCGCCCGTGGCGTCCCTTGTCTGCGAAGCGGGCATTCCTGCCCTCATGCTGACGGCAGCGTCTTCCGCAGGTCGCCCTGCAAGTGGCCGCAATGCTGACAGGCAACTGCAGCTTCTACCACATCCTCGTCATCGTGCTCTGTCTCTCGCTGGTCGACGATGACTGGCTTCAGGGCAGGCGGCAAGGTCAGAACAGCGACGCGAGGACAGCGTCAGAGTCCGCGGAGGGAGGGGGGGGGGGGGGGGGGAGGGGTATCAGTGGTGCGTCGGGGCCCCGGTAGTCACGTGGAGCAGGAATGGTAACGATGTGGTACAGCCCATCCACACCGTCATGTCGGCAGTGTGATGGTAGCTAGTCGCTAAAACAGCACGGCTAAGCAACGCAAGAGCCAAGAACCCTCCGACCAGGCGAATGCCATCACCGTCGTGAGGGAAGGCGGGGACGCACTGACAGACTTTGTCACGTTTGCGTGCTGTTCGGCTGCAGTCCACCCCCATGTATTTACGACGTTTCTGAAGTGGGTAGCCACTTTCGTTCTGTACGTCAAGCGTCACTGTCGTTAAACGTCACTGTTTTTTTCTCGTTCCTTCGCTGTACGTCACTTTCATCGTACGTCAAGCGAATGCGTCCGAGCCCGTGCACGTGTCGAGGCCACTCGGGGTCCGTTGGCCGCCGTCTCCCCGCCGTCCGCCTGACAGTGGGCGGCGAGGCAGCTGCCAGCTGCCAGCTGGTGACAGTGGGCGTCCGTCCGGCAGCTGGCGCCGGCGTACCGGGCCTGCTAGCGACGCTGGCGACGCTGGTCGTGTACGGCGCCCTGCTGCTGGGCGCCGTGTTCCTCTTCGAGCTGCGCCTCGACTACGGAGGGCTGGCAGCGCGGACCGGTCAGTGCTCGGTGCTCGGTGCTCGGTGCCCGCGTGCCCGCGTGCTCGGTGCCCGCGTGCCCGCGCGCTCGGTCGAGGATCCCAGCTGGATACCTGGGTGGCTTGCGTTCGCTGGTGTCAGCGCCACCGATGTCATTTGTATCTGTGTCTTCTGCATTCGATGTCATTTGTGTCAGTGTCTTTTGCAACTGATGCCATTTATGTCGCTGTCTTCTCCCACTGATGTCATTTGTGGCAGTGTCTTCTCCCACTGATGTCATTTGTGGCAGTGTCTCCTGCCACTGATGTCATTTGTGGCAGTGTCTTCTGCCACTGATGCCATTCGTGTTGGTGTCTTTGTCACTGATGTCATTCATGTCGCTGTCTCCTGTCACTGATACCATTTGTGGCAGTGTCTTTTGCCACTGATGTCAATTGTGGCAGTGTCTCCCGTCACTGACGTCATCTGTAGTGGTGTCTTCTGCCACTGATGTCGTTTGTGTCTGTGTCTTCTATCACTTTTGTCGGAGTGCTGATAACGCGTTCCGAGTCATTAACGAGTCTGCGTTCACCACTGCGCGTCTGGGAAATCAGAGATACGGCGTAAGATTCCTCGCGCTGCTCGCCCTTCGTGCCATGGTGAGAGGCAGGCGACGCCATATAGTCTCAGCAGCTGAGTGCGTTGTGAAGCTCCGATGATGATGATAATGACCGGTTGCATAATTGTCAGTGTCAGTTCCGGTTGTGTCAGTGTCAGTCCTGCGCGTCGCTTGAGTGGGACCAGTGTGGGACCGGTGATGCCGAATGTTGTCAAACCCATGCAGGTGTCTCAGGCGTGTTGTGTATACGGGCCTCGCACTTATTGGACCAAATGGCGGCAAATATCTTGCTGCATGCATAAGAAAACCGCATCACCAATGGAAGCACGCAGCTTCTGCCGTAGTTGGCGTTACAATGTGTCAATCCGTTTGCTGCGATGGAATCGTATGGTATGGGACGTGGTGTTTCCTGGTGGTTACTGGGACACGTGTTAGTGCCCACGTCTGGTCTCTCACTGCCCTGCCCCCCTCCCCCAGTCCCTCCTCTCCCCGTCCTCTTCGCATACCAGGTCTCGCCACCGCTCCCAAATATTGCCTCCTCGTGTGTCCTGTGCTCTCCTCCTCTCTCTTTCCGTCGTCTGCAGCCTTCCGGTCCTGGCCGCCGTCCTCACCGTTCCGGTCCTGGCGCTGGCCCCCGTCCTCGCCGCTCCGGTCCTGGCACCGGCCGCCGTCCTCGCCGTCCCGGTGCTGGCGCTGGTCCCCGTCGCCACCGGCCCGCTCCTGCCGTCGGCCCCCGTTGCCGCGGGCCCCCCGCCCTCCTGCGGCCTCCCTGGTCGTCCAGCTGCTGCTGCCGGCGGCGGCGGCGACGCTTGGTGAGGCGACTGTCGGGCCGCGCGGGGCTGCGAACGCCTCGCAGCAAAGGCGTGACGAGGCGACGGGCCAGCCGGCTGGGCACGCAGGCTGGGCTGGGCAGGCGACGTGGAAACGGCGCTTTCTCCCCGAGTTCGTTTTTAGGGACGGACCGCCACCGATATTGGTAAACGCGCTTCTTACGTGGTATGACAGGTTTCAACGTAAGCTTCCTCTCTGCTTCGCTGGGGAATGTCTGTCATCTGACTCACGTGAGTCGCCTCGGTTCGTTTCGCTGACTCGGCTTTCTCGATGACAGCCTTCACTAAGAGCGACTTCGAGGAGTTCGCGCAGAAGGCCGTCCCCGGCAGCATCGCGTTAGGAGCCGCCGCGTTCTTGCTGGCAGCTGCCGAGGCGCTCACCTCAGGTGAGCACGAGGGCGGAGGCTCTCACCGCGGGTGAGAACGAGTGCTGGGGCTGCCACTTCAGGTGAGCACGAGGGCGGAGGCTCTCACCTCGGGTGAGGACGGATGCTGAGGCTGTCGCTTCAGCTGACGTCTGGGGCAGAGGATCTCACCGTCGGTGAGCACTGTTGCTGGGGCTTAGTCGGGCAAGGAGAGGTGCTGACATTCTCACCTTGAACAAGAAAGGGTGCCGGGTCTCCGACTACAAGTAGGAACTATATGGCAGGCGAACACGCTGAGACTCACCTCACCTAAAATGACGTACTGGGGCGTTGACTTGCGGTGGGACCGGGCTGTCTCTAGTTGAGACAGGGTGCTTACCCCGGTGAGGCCAATGTGCCGTCTGCCGACGCTCTCACCCCTGCCGCAGGCTGTGGCCATGTTTGTCGCCAGTCGGTCTTGGTATCTGAACGCATCCTTGCACATTTGTGTGCGGTAGCATTACCTGCAGCGCCGTTCAGTGTTACGTGAATTCTGTTTTTTCTCCTATCGGGGAGGGGAAAGGGCATCTGTTGTAAGCGTGCTATTATATATATATATATATATATATATATATATATATATATATATATATATTGTGTAGCTTTGGACTGGGAAAAATACGACTACCAGGCTGGACTACGCTAGATTCGCTACTTAATATGCTACTAAGGTATACTACTAGCTTAGACCTGTATCTCGTGTTCGTGGAATTCGTTTTTAAAGATTTGGTCCGAACCCTTCGAATTGACGGATTTCTGGAATCAGAGCTCACGCTAAGCAGTGCTTGCTGCGAGCCCTGACCCCTACCATCCGATCGTGCAATGCCCGGCGACGGCAGAATTTAGTGGCGAAAGCTCGACGTGCCGCAATGCTCGGCACGGTCCGTCCTGCCCTCTGACGTCAACTGACCTGTAACGCAAGCGCTGCCACCGGCCGCAGGCCATGCCTGTCAGGGGCAAATAGCGAGCGCCCGAGGCGACTCGAGCCCACCCCGCCACGGGTGGGTGGATCGGAAGGCTGGCGCTCTAACCAACTGAGCCACTGGGACGGACTGGTTAGTCAAATGATTATTGAATCTTCTTAGTGATAAGAGGCAACCTCATCATGGACCGTTTGTGAACACTGTCCTCCCCTGCTGCAGCGCTGATGGACTCGCCCGGCCTGTGCAGCGCTCTGGATGCTATCTGGAAGACCCTCGTCTCCGTGGCGGTGGCTGCTCTGGTGTTTGGCGTCTCGCTGGTGAGTGGGCGGCGATGCTGGTGTGTGGAGGTCGGTGGCCCTCACTGACTAGTATGCGTTTGCTCTGCTATTGTTCTTTTGTATTGGTATTTGCTCTTCTGTTTTGCAGCTTTTGCGTGTTGCATTGTCGTGTGCTTTAGCGTCTTTTAGAGTTGAATTTTGGGCCAGTTGAGCCATGACACAGATGACACAGTATGGCCTGTGACTTTTCAGCTCTGGTGTGTGTGACGTCAGACTCCGTCCGGCTGCCCCAAGTGTGACGTCAGGCCCGGGGTGCCGGTGGCGTCACACCTCTTCCGCCACTTCATATATATATATATATATATATATATATATATATATATATATATATATATATTATAGATAACCACCAACATAATCGTCATCAATCCGGGCGTGCCGGTGACGTCACGCTGTCGGTGACGTCGCCGCTGCCGCCGCCGTCAGGTGCCGTTCTCCTCCCTGGACGCGGCGACGCAGGGGGCGCTGCCGACCCTGCTGCGGGACGTGGCCGGCCCGCTGCAGCAGCACCGACTGCTCGGCCAGTACGGCCTCTTCCACGAGCTGGCCGGCGCCGGAGGTAACGTCCGCCGCAGCGGCGGTGGCGGCCGCCCGGTGGCCGCCGGCTGGTGGCGCTGGCCGGACTGGGGCGTGTTGACGTGCGACATCAGTGCTGGTTGTCCGTGGTTTGTGGAGTGTGGCGCGTGGCGTGCGTACGTGCGTGCGTAATAATAGTGTACAGACGAATGCTGTAAGGACATTCTCTGACATAGCATGAGCTGTCCTCACCTACACGCCTAGCATATCGCGTACAGTTTAGTTGGTGAAGTCTGTACCAAGGTGCATAATCTAAACCATTGTAGTCAGGTCAAGGGCTTGGCATGTTATTACAGCAAAGTGGTATCAATTCTGCACACTGTTACAGTGCATGTACATCACACATCGGTAATGTGTGTGATAGTAAGTATATGCTCCATGGGGAGGCGTGCGGCATGGAAAGTCGGACTCACGGTCTGGTGGCACGACAGACGAGATATGACATGTCTGATATGAACGTGGCTTAACGCTGTGTTTCCAATGTGACGTGTTGCCTTTCATACGAGACCCAGACCTGTGTGACTGTGCCAGTGGACAAGCAAAGCTCCCTTCTGCGGGAGTGGTCGTCGGACACCGTCTACCCCAGCCGCCGGTCACCCCCGACCTCCGTGACCCGTGACTTTTGACCTCTGATCACGGTGATCGCTGACCTCGGCGACCTCAGACCTCTGCGACCTCTGATCTCAGTGATCTCTGACCTGGGCGATATCTGACCTCGGTGACCTCTGACCCAAGCGACCTCGGAGCCCGGTGCCCTCTGACCTGTGTCCCGGCTGCAGGCCGCCGGGAGCTGATCCTGGAGGGCGCCCACTCCGCCAGCGGACCGTGGAAGGAGATTGAGTTCAAATACAAGCCGGGAGATGTCGCCGCTGCACCGAGCTTCGCGTGTACGTGCCATCGCTCACCGGCCGGGGCCGCCTCGCCGCGACGGGGAGGCGCTGCCTGACGGCCTTAAAGGAGATTCTGGGATACTATCTAGGGCAGGGTCACTGCCTCTCTCTCTCTCTCTCTCTCTCTCTCTCTCTCT